CTTTGTCTGTTTTTACATTTAGTGGTCCTGGGCCCATTATGATATCCATCTATGCAGTCAAGGTGAGCTATCCATGGCATAGTTGTAGCGGCATTAGTCTCATTTTTTCTCCAGATCTCGTTTATCCGTCTTACTTACATCTGAGTCCTAAAATTATCCGTTCTAGGCTTTCCGTTGATCCTCTGATTGTTTCCCTTCACTCATCTTGGATAAATCTGATTCACGCCCATTTGATCTTCTAATATGACGATCTCATTTACCTTGTTTGTATTATCAATGCACTTATCCGGGCTCGGACTCAGCAGCGCTAGGCGAATCCCGTTACTTGAATGTGCAAGTTTATATGTCCAAACCTCCATGCCGGAGTTTGAGCGCTCAAGTCTAGCCTTGACGCCTTGTTTATGCCTAAACCTGCGCCTATATACGCAAGAGATATTCTTTGGCTGCCTGACCGATGGCTTTGAGCTTAATTCCCTTGCTTTGCTTGTCGGCTTGAATGACTAATCGTGGCCTTGCTGTATGCTACAGCTTGGCAACGGCACATCCTGAAACGCACTGGCGGGCGTCCTTATTCCCTCCGGGTCGAGCCCAGTGTCTCTACATCCTACATGCACACGTTCGAGCCTGTCTTGCGTCTGGTGCGTGCCCTGCCGGACTGGCTATTCAGCCAGTCAGTCAGTCAGCCAACCAGCCAACAAAACTAGCATATCTCGCTCCTTTCCTAGCCCTTTTTCACGAGATGCCCTGGCATTTTGTCTTCGCTCGAACTCTCTCTACTTGGCGTACCTCTGCCGTTTTATCCACCAATCAGCTCGTTTTGCAGGGGCGTGTTTCAGGCTATTCAGCTAGTTAAGCTACTTATTGTCAGAACTGTTGCAGGTTCGTGTTTCTACTCTTCCGGTCCACAACCATCCGGTCCGTCGCAGTTACTGTTGCTCACATCTTAATTATTTTTTATTTCACTCCTTTTCCCGCATGCTCTCTTAAGTACCTACTACCCCTCCACTCACTTACCAGCATTTTTCACGGGGTTAATGTATCTATTTCTCAGTTCCTTTCCTTATCACATCTACCAAACCACCTAGAACCACCTAGAACCACCTAGAGTTTGTGTTCATTTATCTCAATTGACTGATGTCGACGCCACATTTACTATGATTACCCTAACACCTTGATACGTATTGTATGCCACGTTCGACCAGAATTTGGCCACTTTTGTAGTAACCACTAAAGTTTACGCTACTTTATTACGGAATTTAGCCATTCTGTGCACGTCTTCAAAGATTTTCAGCGTCAAATAGATAATACTTCATCTCTGCAAAATTTCCTAACTCGACCAACCATCTTATGCGGCAGGAATTATTTCTCATCATGTATCCTTTATTTTGGGTTACATATTTTCTTTTGGTTAATAAGTAAGTTTTTTTAACTGAAATTGGTTGAATACATTTATAAATAATTACTGTTACTCT